ACTCAGTATGACCTTACAGTATGAAATACTGCTAGATGATTGGTGGTGGAAACGTCTTCCACTGGTGCGATAATAATCCGCAGATGACTGTTCATCTCTTTCTTCCAGTCATCACATCAGTTCAAAATGTACATTCGATTTCCATTAATGTATCATACACATATTTCTGCGTCATTTCTACCCTCTATGCTGTTTCTTCTCTTTCCCTCTTCAGACAATCATTATTGGGTTTCCCGCAGCTCTACCACTCATCACCGTAGCCTTCTGGTGGACATTTGTCACATGGATAATTACCATGATTATTACAGCGATTGTTGTGACTGCCAGTGTGTTCATAAGATTCGATATGCTTCGAAGTTTTGGGAAGCTGATAATTACCACATTCTCCTTGGAATTACTCTACTGTGTAATATTCTTCCCTTTCGTCTATTTCCAAAAATATGATGTAAGTAATCAGATACACTGCAAGTTCTTCTTAGTAAAAATTAACTGTTATTAAATATTTTATGTGGTTAGCTTTACTGACGATTATTTGCTTCGCTGAGGGTTCCATTATGAAATAATTACTGAACGCGTAACGAAACAAGTGGTTCGAAAAGCACAATTTCCCACATCTATCAGTCGAGTAACATTTCAGAATATCGACAGATCTTTATTGGCCTACTGAAGTGCATTTCATTTCATAGGTGAACATTCTCCTGGACCTAGGTGTTGTTATAGACGGGCATGTGCATAAATGAGTGTTTTAATTTTGGTTTGCTGACGAAATGCTGCATAAATCGGCTCAATCTGTCTAACTTATAATTGAGAAGAATAAAAAGTTCAGCAAAGATATCTTTTCGGCGATTTCATTTTCAAAAGCTGTACAATCACATTTAAATACATGATTTTACATGGAGACGATTCTTGTTTGATTCTACATAATTATGACGGCGAATAAAAGGTGATAATTATTTCCAACTAGATATGGTTTTTACGAGAGGCCTAGAAACAAAATTACGCAGGATTAGAACGGATATCAAGTGTGTAAAAATGGGCATGGATACAAAATTGAAATAATGAATATTCAACTTGAGATGGGAATCAGGAGGTGCGAATTAGATTACAAGAGCCTTAGAAGCACAAAAAATTGCACAGGATTAAGATATAATTGTAAATTTTTAAAAACGGATTATAAATGTGAACAGGAAAAACATGGAAACAAACTTAAAATAACTGTTTTTATAACTGGAAAAAAAATGGGGTGAATCGAATGAAGACTGAAGGAGTAAGAATCACACACATAGCGAACGAAAAGGGATCAAAAAACAAAAACGGAAGCTACGGTAACATACCGAACTAAGTCCATGGTAGTTGTAGAGGTTGGACTAATTTTTTTTGGACACACAGCTCCGGCTTCTCGATGCATATTGCGAGGGCTTCTGCAGTACAGAGAAGTTCCTGATTCCCATCTCAAGTTGAATATTCATTATTTCAATTTTGTATCCATGCCCATTTTTACACACTTGATATCCGTTCTAATCCTGCGTAATTGTGTTTCTAAGCCTCTCGTAAATCCATATCTAGTTGGAAATATTTATCACCTTTTATTCGCCGTCATAATTATGTAGAATCAAACAAGCTGTAAATCAAAAAAAAATAAAAAAAAGAATTGTCTCCATGTAAAATCATGTATTTAAATGTGATTGTACAGCTTTTGAAAATGAAATCGCCGAAAAGATATCTTTGCTGAACTTCTTATTCTTCTCAATCTTACTTATAATTCACCTCCTAATGAACGAGTTACACTTCTGTTGCCTCGTTCCATCAGTAAAGGAGATAGAATCTCGACAAAGCTACTTTCCATATTGGAATAAACTAACATTCTTGATGCGATAGTCATGTTTCACACAATTTCATTACAGTCCAGTGGTTCATGGGCGTTATTTCTAGAATTCTTATTTTTAATTATTCCAATTCCAAGTGAAATATTTTGCTTCAGTGGAGAATCTACATATGTCTTTCTGCCATTATATTGTACCTTCACCTCACTGTCCACATGATCTCCTTTGTTTTACTCTCAGAAGTCCTACTCGAATTGGGCTCTTCTTTTCGGGATGTCACTTTATTGACTCCTTAGAGAATGTCCAGTCCATCTCCATTTCCCTCTGAATTTTGGTTGTATGGTGAGTTATTGCACGGCTAGCTGATCGTTAAGGTCTTTTTCGTTAGAATAACGGCGACACTTTCAGTGATGACAACATCAAGTTGGAATGATGCTATTTATGTCAGCTATGAGAATGAGTAAACTCCACTTACCTATGTGTGATTAATCTTATTGGTGGTCATTTTTATCACTGGAATCATCAGGATAACAATTCCGTATATATATATATCTTCTTCCGAGGAGAGTGATATTAATCATGTACACGTGGAATGAGGAAGGCAGGTGTGCTCCTATTGTGAATCTTTTTCGTGATATGCTTGAAAAGTGTATTATAAGACAGGAAATTTTGAGCATTTTTCACAAAGCGGAGAGATGGATACACAAAGGTTTCATTGT